TCCACATGGAAGACTCCCTACCAACGGACAAGCCTCCATACTTCATGAGACAACTATCATCATTGGAAGAAATTAATAAAGGTATTCATCCAATCCAATGATCTTGATGTATGGGAGATATCGAGAATGGCTACTCTTCTCCAAAGAAGAAGGAGAAGAAGCGGAGTGACAAAGAACGGAAGAAAGCTCAACTTATGCCAAGGCCATGCACATGTTGTTTTGTGCATTTGGTCCTGAAATCTATGAAGGAGTCTCTTTATGTTCAAGTGCCAAGGAGCTTTGGAATAAGCTCGAGGAAATCCATGGAAACAAGAAAGAAGAACCAACAAAGTGGTGTCTCTAATGGCTTATGAAGAGCCCGAGGTATCTTCTAACTCAAATGAATTTAATCTATACATTTGATGAGTTTACAAGATGCTTTTAATAGGTTATATTCGGAGTTTGAGACCATGAACTCCAAATATAAGAAAATGATTTCAAAATTTAAAATTGAAAACGATTTTCTTTTGAAAACAAAAATAGATTTTGAAAGCCAAATGAAATGTTGAAAAAGGATTTAGAGCTTTCAAAATAAAAATTGATAGTTTTGAAAAAAAAATTTGATTTAAAGTTAAGCTTGAATGCTTAACAAAAGAAAAAGAAATCATTTTAAATAATTCATTTAGTTCAATAATGACAATATGCTCACATTGTCATTATCATGGTCATTTGGAACATACTTGTCCTTTGAAGAAAGGAAAACGTTTTAAATTAGGAAAGTATGGGTTCCGAAAGGATCAAGGGGCATTGAAACTAACGTCCAAGGATCCAAGCAATTTGGATACCAAAATCTACTTAAATGTCTCTTGTAGGTTTGTGAGAGCAATGGTGATGAGAGTGATGATATTCAAGATGCTCTAGCCACACATGAAAAGGAATGGGTAACCTCTAAGCTTAATGCTTTTAATTTAGGTTATTTGGTTGCTCATTTGATTTTAAGCATGCATGAGTTTTGGTTTTAAATGATTATGCATCATTGTTTAATCTCATGTATGTTGAAAGATGATTATGAAATTTATTTTGAGAATTTTTAGTTCATCATAATGAATTTTGGTCAAAATTGGTTTTAAATGCTAATGATATCTCTCTAACAATTGATATCAAATTTCAAAATACTTTGATTTTATAAATTTAATTTTGGCCTAAATTTTAATGTTTATGCATGTGGTCTAAATGAAAATATATCTCTCTAGCAATTGATATCAAATTTTTAAAATTGCATAACATGTTTGGAAAACTTTATGCAAATGCACTTAATTTTAGCAATTGGTATTAATATCAAATTTCAACAATTGGTATTGCATAAAGTATTTTAGACTTGTATATATTGAATTTCATATGCTACAAACATGTTGTTATTCTTTTTAGAAATTTAAATTTTGTTTAAGTGTCAAGATCTTAAAATCTTAATTTTGTTTGGAATACATTATTGAGGGGGAGCTTTGATTTTTCAAATAATTTTTAAATGTAATTTACTACTTACTCTCCAAAGTATTTTAAACTTCAAAGATCGAATTATTTTTGATATAAAAAAAGGGGGAGAAGTTAGTTTGAAAAATTCAATTTCTTAATGAAAAAGGGGGAGCTTAACATTTTCATGTTTTCCAACAACTAGTATCTTTTTCATTAAACATTTTATTAAGGGGGAGTTTTTGCCAAAAATAATTTTTCAAATGTTTTGTTATATCAAAAGGGGGAGATTGTTGAACTATGTTTCGATATAACAATTTAAGGCAAAATGGTTTTTTGGACTTGAATTGAATTTACAAAATGTTTTTGGACTTAATTGAATTTATTCAAAGTTTTTAAAAGGTTTTCAAAATAATTCAAAATCAATTAAAATTCAGATTTGAGCCAAAATATTTTAAGGGGTTTCAAGATTGCCCAGGGGGTATAGATTCCCCCCCAAGAGGTACAGATACCCCCAGGGGGTACAGATACCCTCTGCAGGTTTTGCCCGAGAAAAACAGAATGTCCAGGGGGTACCGATTCCCCCCCCGGGGGTATCGATTCCCCCCTGTTCAACAGCCAAACGGTCATAATATTTGAATATTATGAAGGGGTATCGATTCCCTATGAAGGGGTACGATTCCCTCTATTCTGGGCAACCTTTTGAGTATAAAAATCATCCCCAAACGGCTCCAAAACATCCCCAACGGCTATATACGACTTCAAACTCATTCCAAGCTATAAATACAAGCTGAGGACACTTGAAGAAGCAAGAGAACAATTATCCAAGCAATCAAACACAAGAGAAGAGTTTTTCAATCTTATTTCATCTTTCTTGTAAATATTTTGTTTGAGAGCTCAATCTTGTAAACACCTACCTTAGAGAGGTTTTCTTGTTTACATTTCTTATCCTTTTGTAAAGGGGAATGTTCTAGCTTAGCCCGTGTAAAAGCTAGGGAAAGGTTCCAGTTTAGCCAGAAAAACTAGGGAGTTTGTAAGGTTACTCTTTATCCTCAAAAGAAAGACAAATTAGTAAATTTGTTGGAAAATCCTTGTGAGGAGCTAAGGTAGTGGACGTAGACTTTGATTGAGAAAGTCGAACCACTCTAAATCGTTGTGCAATTTTCTATCTTTCAATCTCCTTACTTCTAAACACAAAACCGTTCCGACCCCTCTTTGCAAACGTTCCGGTTGTCGATTCGAGCTTCCGAAAATCCTAACACTCCCTCTGGGTCATCGGCTAAAACATTTGTCTTTAGGGTTCTCCAAAGAAAACACGATTAACAGCGCATGCAAGTGAAGAGTAAAGAGAAACAAGCGAATGATAAAAAAGCTTTCACCTTTATTACTTCGAATCGTTTACAATAGCTTTGCCTTTGTATTTTCCGTGTTTCCTCTGTATTTTGTGTAAATCGTGTGTTACAATAGTGAGTTACAATGGCTATTATAGTGCTTGTGGATCCTATCTTAGGAGTTTAAATCATAGTAGAACTCTATCCTATTTTTAGGAGTTTGAATCATAGCAAAATTCTATCCTATTTTTAGGAGTTTGAATCCTAGTAGGACGATCATTTACTTTACGAAAAGTGGGTTGATCGGATACCCTATTTCTTACATGATCTGCGTCTTTCCAAAGATGTGTCGAGTCGGGAGTCGGTTACGGTCAAGGAAGGATTAGCACCCTTGAACCGCCCTTTCGGTACTATGTAATTTCCAGTTGTCTTTAATTAAGAAAGTTGAAAGTTTAAATTGAAAGGTAAAATAACGATCCAAAACTAACATTTGATTGATTGAAATTGTACCCTTAAGAAAGTAAAAAAAGCCATGTTAGATAAAATGGTAAGAAATTAATTAATTAATTAAATTAAAATGAAAAGAAAACAAATTAAGTAAAATGATAAAATGAAGAAAGCAAAGATAAAATAGTAAGTAAAAAAACAAATAATAAAATATATATAAAAATGAAAATGAAAAAGAAAATAAATAAAACAAATAACAAATAATAATAACAAAATACGAATAATTATATATATAAAATAAATAAAAAAGTAAATATATATAAATTAATAAATTAAATGACGAAAAGAACATATACACATATAATGGTAAAAAAACCAAATAATGATCATTACAATATATATATATATATATAGTAACAATACTAATAATGATAAAAGTAGTTAAAAAAGACAATCACACGAAAAGGGAAGAAAAAAGAAAGTAAGGTTTGGAAGTATAATGACAGGAAGAAAAAATGATGAGGGGTAGGGACAAAGTAGTAGTAGATATAATTAACTTGTGTAGAATATTATATATATATATATATATATATATATATATATATAATAGTAAAATGTATATATAACAACAATAATATCAATAAAAAAAGAAAATAAATATAATATAATGATAATAAAAAATATAGAAAATTAATAGAAAAATATATGTATAATATTATAAAATATAACACTTAAAATAAAAAAAATCAAATATTTATTAATAATAGGTATAAAAACTAAAATATTTAAAAAGAACATACGCATATATATATATATATATATAACAAAATAAATAATATAAAAATAATACAAGTAATAATACAAGAATAATAAAAAAAAGAAAGGAAAAAATATAATAATAATAAAATATAAAAAATATACATATATAATATAAATAATTAGAATAAAAGGAAAATATAATAGTAAAAATAATAATAAATATAATAGTAATAATAAAAATGCAAAGAAAATAAATATATATATGGGTAATAACGTATATAAATAGAGAAAAATTAAAAAAGTGATAAATTAAAAAAATTAGCAAGTATGTATATATATATATATATATTATATTATATATATATAACTAATTAAGGGATTAAAATGAAAGGAATGTAAATTAAGTGGGTAAATGTCAAAGAACATCGAAGATTAAAACCGACAAAAAAAAGTTTTCCTTTTTTGATAGATTTTCGTACTCTCATTCCAAAAATGTAATTTGTTTTTGCGAAATAGCATATAGGGAGCGTAGATCTGAAATCAAAGTTTCGAAAAAAACTCCCTCGGGGTCATCGGCTAAAACATTTGTCTTTGGGGTTCTCCAAAGAAAACACGATTAACAACGCATGCAAGTGAAGAGTAAAGAGAAACAAACGAATGATAAAAAAGCTTTCACCTTTATTACTTTGAATCGTTTACAATAGCTTTGCCTTTGTATTTTCCGTGTTTTCCTCTGTATTTTGTTTGTAAATCGTGTGTTACAATAGTGAGTTACAATGGCTATTTATAGTGCTTGTGAATCCTATCTTTAGGAGTTTAAATCATAGTAGAACTCTATCCTATTTTTAGGAGTTTGAATCCTAGCAAAATTTTATCCTATTTTTAGGAGTTTGAATCCTAGTAGGACGAAAAGGTGTGCTGACACAACCTTTTTATAACAGGACTTCAACCAAACCCTAAACTCGACCTAAGGCCCAACTTTGACCCGACCCGGTCTAACCTAACTAGGGTCACCTCCCAAACACCCCCAATCAACGTGCACCATCCTCTGCCCCAACCAGCAACCACCTGAATTTGCCCCAATCATACATGCACGTCGACAACAAGTTACACGCAACCTGCAGAAACAAAATAATAAAGAAGAAAACAAATATCAATCATATTTTTCCAGTTGTAAATGGGTATATTAACCTATTCATTAATACTGTAATTCGATTCGAAAATCCTCCCGAAAAAAATACTATAACTTGCTTTTTGAAGCAATAACATTTCAAGGGTATTTTTCTTTTTATCTTTAATTTCAAGTATTTTTTTTGTTCTGTGTTTTCCTCTGTTTCAAAGTTTTCGAATCGCTGTAAATGCTAGGTTTTCTTTCTTTCTTTTCGTTTTCCAACAAATACATTAAATAAGTTTTTTCTTCTCATTTTCGAATAAAAAATAAGGAAAAATAAAATATTTTGATCTAATAATCAACCAACGAAGACTCAAAAGGGGACACAAGGAATATATATATTTGAAAGGATAAATGAAGCAAAGTCGTTCATCATCTCATATACGAAAGTCTTTGTAAAAAAGGTATCCCAAGGGGACAAATATTCAGGATTAACCTTATTTACATGAAAACAATGTAATTAATTCATGATAGAATTATTTCAATAATTCCCTTTATTTCTTCTTCTTTCAATGCACATAGTATGCCCCAATTATTTGAATTCTCTTGCAAAAACTTGATCACAACACTTCATCTTTTCTTTCTTGCAGGAAAGGTCCTCGTTATGCCCCCAGGATTTATTGAGATTGGGAAATGAATGCTAGTTATGTGTCTAGGAAGATAAATACGTGACTTTAAAGTCATAACTCTAAAAAAGGTAATGTTATGGAAATGTTATTTCTGTCTGTGAAGGTAAAAGTACAGATTTTTGTGTCTTGGGGGATAAGGGCATGACTTTATTGTTTCGAAGGGAGGTGATGTCAAAGTTCGATCTTTTGGTAATGAGCACACGCTGTGTAAGGAAATGAGTAAGGGTGTTCGACTTTGGAGGGAACACGAAAGGTTTAATCTTGTTCCTTGTCAACGATTTATAATTAATGGAGTAATAAAAAAACCTTTAATACATTTCATATTCAAAGAATTACAAGATTAAAACTTGATTTATTGCTCATAACCTAAAAAAGCCATAATTTCAATCAACAAAATATTTTTTGAGTATGTAAAGAACAAAAACACGTTCAAACAGGACAAAGTCAGTGCCATAAGGCTTTACGGCGGGTGGAAGAACTTCTTTTTAACTGGCCCCAGAATGTCTAATTACGAGTTAAAGGTCAATACCCCTAGGTCAAACAAAATCTAGGCCTTGCTTCTCAATGCCCCATGGATCTAGATGATGTCCCTCAAACTTCATATGTCGCTAATATCATGTCCATAACTCTCAATTCTTTTCTAGGAACGAATGGGGTGACTTCATCTTACCTCAAAACTTCTATCACAATATTTGTATACCATGTAATACAATGTATATATGCTAATGTAAAGATGCACATGCAAATGATAACACTTTTGAAATTTATTAATAATTAATATTTTCTAAAAAACTTTAGGGATTAATATATTATTGATTCACAATACTTTAAATCGACAATGCCTCGCTTAAGCGATTGACATTACCAATGGAGATTTCATAATGAGAAGAACTCATCTGACAGAGGGAGAGAAGTTCATAATGCGAAAACTTGTTCGACTTATTGCTCGATTCACAACACTTTGAATTAGCAATGCCTCGTTTTGAGGGATTGATATTGGATTGATATTTCCGATGGAGAGTTCATAAAGAGAAGAACTCATCCGACAGAGGGAGAATAAGTTCATAAAGAGAAGAACACGCGACTTGAAGAGCAGAGATTGAGCTAAAAATGACGCTCTATTATCTTTGCTTCATTCCCATTTCACAATAATAAGCAAAGAGGGACATCTGTGAGCACCATTTTATTTTTTTACACTCAACCCCTTTTAATTAAAACCCAACAAGACCCAAATATAACCCAACCCTTTTTAATAGGGCTTCAACCAAACCCTAAACCCAACCCAATCTAACCTAGCTATGGTAGCTACCCAAACCCCCCAATCACGTGCACCCCCTCCTCTGCCCCACCAGCAACCACCTGACTTTGCCCCAATCATCCATGCACGCCGGCAGCAAGTTACACGCAACCTGTAGAAACAAGGCAAGAAAGAAGAAAACAAATAGCATTATATTTTTTCAGTTGTAAATGAGTATATTAACCCATGCATTAATACTGTAATTCGATTTGAAAATCCTCCCGAAAAATACTGCAAGCTGTTTTTGAAGCAATAAATATTTCAAGGGTATTTTTCTTTTTTTATCTTTAATTTTGAGTATCTTTTTTATTGTTGTGAGTTTCCCTTTGTTTCAAAGTTTTCGAATCACTGTAAATGCTAGGTTTTTTTTCTTTCTTTTCGTTTTCAAACAAATACAGAAAATAGGTTTTTTCTTCTCATTTTCGAATAACAATAAGGAAAATTAAAATATTTTGGCCTAATAATCCCATTGAGCCTATTTTGCAATAAATATAAGAAAATAAAAGAATTAGATCGGAGTGTACTTGAGTCGAGGGAGCGTCGCCGGAGTTCAGGGTAGTCTGTTAGGATCAAGTCATTCAATTTTTGAACAACTTCCCAGTGGGTCACCCATCATTGAATTACTCTGATTCAAGCACGTTTAACTATAGAGTTCTGAAGTGAATGGTCAAGATTCATTCTTAAAACCAATTGGTGATAAGTAGGTGGGCCAATTCAACTTCATATCTTTGTAGTGGGTGATTATTGGTTTCCCCCAAGCCAAGGTGGATTCTTGTGAGGCACCCCCAAAGTTCACCACGACATTGCAGAGCTCCACATCTATAGCGTGTTGTGAGCGAGCCTAGGGGCTTCGCACGATACACGTGGGCCTCGGCAGGTTGGGCTGTCAAGCACTTGATATCGCGCCCATACACGATAGAATCTCTAAGGGTGATCGTTGGACCCCATAACCCAATATAGTCAAAACATTTTGAGTCGGTTTTAGGGGGTTTTCGATGTTTTTAGTCCTAAAACGGGTTCTATGAGGCTAGGTTTAGGTTCGGGGAGAGTTTCGGGTCATTTTAGGTTTTTCGACCGCCGTGTGTGGCGGCCAGAGGGGGATCAAGGCAGTCTACCTACTATCGGTCGAGGGAGAGGAGAGAATTTTGGAAAAAAATTGGGTTTTTTTAGAAACTCAACTAAAATGAGGGAAAAAATCAAGTTGTATTTATAGAAAAAAATAGGGGTAAAATCGAGTTTAAACCCCTGTAAGTTACGAGCATTTTTGTAGTTGGTCCCTGCAGGGACCAAAACTTCTATTTTACCTTTCTTCTGTGCATGCCTTATATTTTTGGGTTATTCATGTTTTGGTCCCTGTTATTTGAGCGTGTTTTTGCATTTTGGTCATGTAGGGCTTAAAACTATAATTTTCCCTTTTATTTGCCTATTTTTATTTATTATGATGAAATTTTTGTTTCGTCCCTGCAAGTTAGCCGTGTTTTTGCATTTCAATCATGTGTAGTGACCATTTAATTTTTTTAAATTTATGTGGATCGATTCTATAATTTTCCCTTTTTATTTAACATATTATTTTTAGGCTTAAATAAAATGAAAAATTGATTTTAGGTCCCTATAGTTTACTTGTGTTTTTGTATTTTACACCCTAATCTGTTTATTTTTATTTTATTTCGATTTAGTCTTCAAATTTCAACATGTTTCATTTTAGCCCCATTGTATGTTTAATTTATTCCCTTTGAGTTTAGTAATTTAATATTCATGCAATTAGGTCCTTATATTTAGGTTTATTTTATTTTTATTTTATGTTGTTTTTTTCTGTTTTAATTTTTTAATTTTTTAATTTTTAAAGTAATCAAAGAGTCAACAACTGACCTTGGAACATGTATAGACAGCCAGCGTCAGCCAATTCCAATTCTCCAGAGAACCTTTATGACAAATGTCAGCTTCTTCTTGAAGAAAATATATTAATGGGGGCATAAGCTGCAGTTCAAAGTGCCTTGAAGAACCACAAAGCCCGCAATTCCCGGCATTTCCCACCTCTGCTGTAGCCAGGAGAGGTTTCCCACCAAATGCATATCTGAGAACAAAAAGATCAGTGATATAATACTCTATCAGAGACATGAAAATGTGTATCTTTATTTTTTTCACAATTCTTTTCCCTTCTACATGCAGTGAGAAAAATGAAATGTAAAGTAACAGTGCCCATCTCAATTACTAATCATCAATGCTATCTCTCTCTGCAATAAAAGTATGATTTCTTCCCAGTTTATTCTTTATGCATACATTCTCTTTTCTTTTCCTTTCTCAACAATTTGACCAGGGTTCAGTAAGACAACAAAACTAACAGTGTTGTAAGATCCGTTCATAACAAAGGCCTAACATGAAGAAATCATGTATAAATTTTAACGAACAATATGCCAATATATAAAAATAATTACCTGAAACATTGCTCTGGAGATGAACCAATTGTTTCTTGAACTTGAGATAATTTCTGTCAGCATTCAGAGCCGTATCATACTCATAATTTTCAGCTTCCCATGTTTCTTCGTGTCCATGATCATCGGCATCACCTTCTTTCTCTGACTGAAAGTGACAAGTGATTTGAACACACAGAAGCAAAATTCTTTGATGATGAATCCATCTGACTATAAATGTAGAAGCATGGCATTACTGCAACAAGGGAACAAAACGAATCAAGCAAAATAATTTTTGCACAACAAAACTGGTATACAAAATGTGAGGAAGAAATTTAGATGGCAATTCAATGTAACTATCCAAGACACAACAGTACAAGAAACCAAGTAAAGCCATTATATGAAACTGAAAGGATGGGAATGCAGTGTTTGAAGACTAGGATGATACTGTAAACCAATGACAATTGTAGAAAACCTTGTAGAGTCCAAGCTATCGCATACAAGTGTAAGTATATAATGGAATTGAGATGTAAAACAAGATAATAGGGCAACCTCACCTGGTGTATCAGTAACTACCCTTCTTGTTTGTGCAGTTAAAGATGAATTCTTCATAGCACCCTCAGAGTTCCGGTTGCTATTTGTCTTCTTGGGCTCAGAACTCAAGCTAGCTGCTTCAGAAAATGCTTTACTCAAGTCCTCCAAATCCACATCCTCATCACTCAAATTCTCCCACCAGTTAGTTTTTGAAAGAGAAACAGTAGATGAAGCTGCAGGAGGTTTGTCCACAGTAGCAGAGGAAGCTGATTCCTTTGATTCAGTTTCCACTTTCTGAATTCGAAGTGCTCGCCAACTTTATGGTTATATTTCATCAAACAAAGCATACACCTAAGTGGTCATTATTCTGGTAAAAAAAGAGAACATACACTTGATTAAAGTTTGCATTATGATAGAGAAAGGAACCTGAGAGGCGAGCTACCACAATTTGGTGTCACACAACCAAAAACTAGAAGAAGACGGTCTTCAATGTTCAAAGCTCCACTTGAAACTCAACATAAACCTTAACCAGGAATTTTGCAAAAGCGCAATAAATAATGGGATTCCCATGTTTAAATAAAATGAAGGGAAACATAAACCTGAGCAACAAGACAGAGTTTACTCCCACATAGAGTGCAGTGAAGGAGGGTGGGGTTTAAGTTCAAAGCCTCTATAGGAAGAGGCCAATCCTGATAAAAACAAAGTTAAGGCATTGAACTGCCAGAGGACATCAACACATACGAAAATGAAAAGAGAAATAGAAAAGAAGTACAGGGAGTCCATCAATTTTGGTACTATAATGATCAGAGGGCTCTCACGGTTATCCTCAGCCCAAGGACCCAGCAAGCCTAGCATAACACCGCTCATCAAGTCAAGGACGTCACTTGCGGTGTCAACAATTTCACATCAACGAGTAGAATCGAAGCCTAGCCTTTGATCCAAGCTCTTTTTTGCCGCATGGAGAATGGACAGACATTACAAAAACTATATCTCGAAAAAAGAAGACATAAGAAAAACTAGGCCTTTGGTCATTCACTTCAATTTGATTCGGTTTATGTAGTCTGTGCGGCTCGATTTGACATTAGGATTTTGAGCTCGGTTTGGATAAAAATTATTTAATTTTTTCTAATTTTTTATTAAATTATTTCCTTGATTAAATTCAACTTTTTAAAAATATTTAATTTAACTTTCAACGTTTTAAAAAAATAATCAGTATTTTCTATAAAATAATATAAAAATACGAACTGGGTATTAAACTTTTAATATTATTGATATATTATTTCACTTAATAATTTATATATACTTCATAATTTTTTATGTTATCTAATGTGAGTAAAATTTAATTCTACTTAAAAAATTAATTTTTTAATTCGAGTCGACTAAAAAAATTTAAATTTAAATCAAGTTGTAAAATACAACTTAAATAATTTTATTTTTTAAAATAAAAAGATCGATTTTCAAGTATAAATCGAGTCTCTCGTTATATATGATATATATATATCACACAAAAAATTATAATATATATATATATATATATATATATTTATAGTATACGGTAACACTCGCGGAGTCATCGTATATCTAATGGTGTCAATTGAAAAGGAAACAATTTTCATATAAATAATATATATATTTAATATAAAATTAAAAATTGACATCTCCTTTAAAAAGACTTTGACACGGAAATTGATCCAACTTTTTAAAAAAAACTATAAAAATTGTCACTAATATTTGAGTGAATTTTTATTTTTTTACTGAAGTTTCAAAAGTAACAAATTGATCACTAATCTTACTTGTAACAAAATGATTATTAATGTTATCAATTTGTAATAAAATGATCACTCTATCGTTATCTCCATCAAATTGATGGCGTGACAATATTAAAAAAAGATAAATATTTATTTTTTCCCTAAATTATTGCTAAAACATAAAATAAATTATTGAACAATGATTTTATATCTAATTTATCACATTAACCTTTTATTTTTTTATAAAAAATCCAAAAATTATAATTATACTTGAATAATTTTTTTAAATAAAAATTTATAAAATCATTCAATATGTAAAAGTTAAAAAATTAAAAGATCTAAAAAATACTAAAACATTGAGAGTTTATAACAAAATAAATTTCTAGCTCCACCTATGTGGTTATAAAAAATCATTTAAATTGGAATAAATCATATCATAATTTTATAAATATTTACAATCAAAGTTAAATAGAAACTCGAATATTCAATTCGACTTAAATTTTTTTAAGTCGACTAGTTATAAAATATGACTCATCAACTCGAATAACTCGAAATTCTTTTACTCGACTCAACTCAATCAAATGCTCACCCAATCTATCAACTAAATCTATTATCTGACAGTCAAATCTATTTACTCTGTCGGCCTAAAATAATCATCATCGCCTAACATCCAAGTAAATAAATAATTTTATTTAATTGATTTTTTTATCATTAGTATTATTTGTATCTTCAAAAATTTTTTTTTAAAAACATTTTAAATCAATAGTATTATTTGTATCTTCAAAACAATATTTAAAAACAATATTAAATACATCCTAAGTATAACCAGCAAGCCATTGACCTCTATAACCATGTTCAGCCGCAGCCCCAGGTTAGTGTTTAGGTAATTAGGTAAGTTAGCAATTGCCGGAGTTGATTGCATGTATGGGCGTCAATTAGGCGGTTCGAACTGGTTCGAGTTGAATCATTTTGTGTTTAGATTTAATTTAAGTTTACGATAATCATGTCAAAGTTAGGTATTAAATCGGGTCAATATTGAATTAGTTAATTTTTTTTAGGTTGATATCTGATCAATTTGTTTTTAATTTGAGTCAATCAATATTGATGAGCAATTTTTGTATCTGAT